AAGTGGGTGAAACGTTATTCCGAGGTCAAAAACGTTGATGACTTGCCGGATCGTGGCTCTGTGCAGAAAAAGGAAAAAAAGGAGGACAAAATGATTTTACGGGTGTTTGAGAAGAATCCTTGTTTATCATTGCGTGGCGGGCAAGCGGTTTTACTTAAAAAGGGTCTAAATATATCATGTCATACTATAAGAAGACGTTTACTGGCTCATAAAGTGAAATTTCGAAGCACGATAACGAAACCGTTGCTGTCTGAAAAACACGTCGAAAAAAGACTTGCTTGGGCAAAAGAAAATTTGGACCGCTATTGGGGCAACGTAATTTTTTCAGATGAAGCTTCGTTTTGGGCAAAGTCTTCTATCAGACGTGTCTGGTCTACCCAGGCCAATAGACTCATCGAGCGGACCGTTAAACATCCGGTAAAGGTGCACGTCTGGGGCTGTTTCTCAAAACAGGGATTTGGCACTTTACACATCTTTACACAAAATTTGGATGCTGCTAAAATGGTCCAAATATATGAGAGAGCTTTATTACCATCTGCCCAAAGGTGGTTTACGAGGAAAAATGAAAATTGGCTACTGCAAGAGGACAATGATCCGAAACATCGGAGTAGACTTTGTACTGCGTGGAAACAAGAAAATGACGTTGACGTACTGGATTGGCCTTCACAGTCGCCAGATGCAAATCCAATTGAAAATGTTTGGGCGCTTATAAAGTTTAAGCTCCGAGGAAAGAAAATATGGACCGTCAAGCAGTTAATTCGACAGATTCGATTTATATGGAGATCTTTGTCTGAAGATTATGCTGTAAAATTAGTAGAAAGTATGCCTCAAAGATGCCAGTCAATTATTAATAATGGAGGCGACTGGACAACTTATTAATAATAAAGCATCGCAGTCTATATCATGCATAATGTGTACAAATTTTTTCAATTTATGTATTATCCTAAGTTTTTGAGTTTTGCCGTACACGCTCTTATCAAACATACTGTATGTGCAAAAAACTGTAGGGAAACTGAACCTCGGTGAGCGCGACTTCCCATTGACCGCGCAAATCCACTCGTTGAGGTAATACTGTAATAAACGACGTGGTCGTATTTTCCGGAAAGTATCGCATGCTGCTGTTGCTAGGTAAAATCATAAGAAATTGTTCCCGCATTATGCCCGAGCGATTTCAGATTCGAAGCGGATATCCACGAATTAAATTTAGAGGGGTATTCTCGCCAGCTAACTAGCAATTCCTTACCGGCACCCCTGCTTTTTATCATCATGTAGACGATAAACTCCTCTTCTCGCAAATTTTTGCTCACCCTCGCTAGTTCCTGCTCGTAGACTATCCCGTTTATAACTTCACCCGATAGATCGCTCAATTCGTATACCCGCGGCTCTCGCCATACGAGAACGCGATGAATTTGAAATATTTCCTCGCTCCAATTCGCCTCGTATCCTTTCTCGAAGGTCTTTTTTGCCTTACTGACTCACACCAGATTGCCCTCCGCGTATTTAGCCTTTCGTTTACGAACTCCCCCTTTGCGTTCATATCGTCGTTTCGTATTTTCGCATGCGATGCGAGCGTTTTCTAGCGTAACACTCGCCGGCCGCATCATGGTGGCGGAATGACGAGTGTGATTGTAGGCGCGCGCGATATACTGCAAAATATCGATGTAACGATGTGTATTCCGATGAGTAAAATAGCGCTACATTCGTTCCTTGAGCCTTCCTTGAGCCTTCCTTGAGCCTTCTATTGAAGCGCTCGATTATGGAGGCTTTGACATCGGGATTTCGAGTTACGCGAAAACGTATACTCTTTTCTTTCAAAAAGTTTTGAAAGGGACGCGCGAGGAATTCTTTTCCTTTGTCGGTCTGTAGGTACACAGGTAGCCGTCCCACGAGAGCACGCGCCGGAGTGCCGCCGCTGTCACACTAACGCCTGTTTTGTCACGTGTCGCTTCCACCCAGACGTATATTTGTTGAGCACATCGATAATCGTGAGCAAGTAGCAGTAGTCATCGTTGTAGTTCTTTAGATTGCGAAGCTCGATCAAATCGGCCTCCCATACGTCGTCAATATTCGTCACGTTGTAATGTAAGCGGGGAAATTTGCGTCGTATCGGTCTTTGCAGCGTGTACGCGTCTTGTGACTCGAGCCAACTAATAATTTCGTTTCGATTGAAATCTGGTTCGGCGGCGTGTGAAAGATTTTCCACGGCGGAGTACGCCGCATATTGCGCGGGATTATAATATAATTTTTCCAGCTCTGTCATTCTAAAAGGTTCCAATCCAACAATTTTCTGTTCCTTGCGAATTTAGAATCTCCGTCGTTCACGTTATTCTTCTTGTTGTTGTTGGACATAAACACCTCGTTGTCCCGTTGTTCCTCTTCGAACGATGTCTCACCGGATCTGCGTTTACCGGCCGCCACCCTTGTCCCGGGAAAAGTTACGCGACGACGACGATGGACCTTCGAGGATATGCGCGCTACTGTCCAAAGGATTCCAATTTAATAATCGCCTCTTCCTCGCGAGTTTGGAATCGCGGCCACTCACGCAGGTTTTGTTCTTGTTACCGTCGTCGGATATAAACGCCGAGTATCGCTCATCTTCGAGCAATGCTTCGTCGAACATGCCTTTATCCATTTGCGCTCTCACTCTTGGAATAGGGGTGCTACTACGTGCCGCTAATTCATCGGGAATAGAAACGCTATCGTGCAAAGGCGATTCTTCGGTGAAAATCTGACGAATGTTCTTCTCTCGTAATTCACGATTTCCCACGAATTCGGGAGGAGTAGCTATACCACGCAATAGTCGAGCGAATCGGCCTCTCCCCGTCGCTTTTAAGGTTTTTCTCTCTCGTACCGCATTCTCTCGCGTTCACAAGTTCGGCGATGTTCGTTCCCTTTAAAATGTTTCAGTCTATACTCACGACCCCTTGTCTGTCACAGCTTATTCTAACGGGCACCGCCACATCGCAGAAATGTCGCAATAGCTTGCGCGCTTTACCACGATAACTTTTCGGGATTTTATCCAGTGTGGCGGATCGATATAGATCCGCACACACACAAGCGCGGCGCCGCTAGCCGAGCCGCCGCACAACCGCGAGAGCCTCCGCGCAACGCCGTTCGGTGGCGCATTCGCGGGGGGGTTTTCTCGCGAGGAAATCTTAATTAAGACTCAATAAAAGGCAGACCCAGCGGGTGGTCGGGGAGACTCGCACTCCGCTGCACTGGTATTAGTGGCGACTTTTATTAATAGCCCTTATACCAGCAGCGGTACCAACAGCACCTATAGGCGCTACTCCTCGTGCTGAAAAGTGCGCCTCGCTGAAGAAGCGATACCTCGCGTTGAAAAGTGCGCCTCGCTGAAGAAGCGATACCTTGCGCTGAAAAGTGCACTCGCTGAAGAAGCGATACTTCGCGCTGAAAAGCGTGTCCGCTGAAGAAGCGGCAACGAGGCCACCGACGCCGAAGAGGCGTCCATCTCTCCACTACGTCGGAGAAGGGGCAGTCGGCCAGCTCCTCGGCGCGGGCACTAGCCCACACGCCAAAGAGCCAGGGCCTACGGCAACGCCTGTACCAGCTGTTTGGAGACAGCTCCCCAGAGGCCGAGACAGGAGGTCCGTCAGGCCGGTCGCCACGGCCGCGGACACCTTCGCCAACGCGGGCTGGGGCGCCGTCCCCGCTTTTGTGGGAAACTCCCTCATCACCAGCACCGGCGGCGGCCAACGTCTTCCTCCCCGCACCGTGGAAGCTCTACCCTATCTGTCTCCCGCAACGGAAGCTAACGCAACCTGCAGCAGTCCCGCTAGCCCGCGGCGACATCCGCGTTCTACGACCGATCTCGCCACGCCGCACGAACGGACACGTAGGAAAGGAAAATCAAGCGCCGGCTTCTGGAGGTCCCCAGCAAAGAAGGACGCGTCGCCCCCATGGCAAGAGAGTAAACTCAGCGGCTCGACGAGTCCTAAGACGTTGGGAACAATTCCCGGACACAAACACATGCACACACATACACATGTAAACTAAATAAAATGTTCCTTGTTAAAAGTTAAAAAAGAAACAGCGAGTGTCACTGCACCCTCCCCGCGAGCGACCGATTACGTCAAATAAAAGAGGCAACCGCCACAACACACAATACCCCAAAACTGGTGACCCCGACGTGATCCTCGCGGGTGAGTGAAAATGCCGACAGAGCGCTCGCCGACAAGGGCTTCAACAGGCTCCACGGCTGAAAACATGAATCCAACGGCAGAACAGCCAACGGGTGCTCACATAAACAAAGTCGCCGTCCGCGCACCACCCTTCTGGGAGAACGAGCCCGAGTTATGGTTCGCACAACTCGAGGGACAATTCCTGCTCGCTGGCATTACTCAAGACGCTACCAAGTACGCCCATGTACTTTCACAGATCGACACGAGGTACGCACGTGAGGTCAAGGACGTAATCACCGACCCACCTGCGACGGACAAATACCTCGCGATTAAGACTGCCTTAATCCGTCGACTGTCAGCTTCACAAGAGCACAGGATTCGCCAACTTCTAGAACACGAAGAGATGGGAGACCGCAAGCCTTCGCAATTCCTGCGGAACCTACGCACGCTCGCTGAAAATGCCGTACCCGAACAACTCCTACGCACGTTGTGGCTCGGGCGGTTACCAACCACGATGCAAGCCATTCTGGCGACCAGAACACAAGACCGACTGGAGGACGTCGCAGAACAAGCGGACCGTATTCAAGAGGTCACCGTTCGTTCAGTCAACGAAGTGAAAACGGCGCCAGACGACCCATCACCGATGGCCCACCAAATACGGCAGCTCACCGACCAGGTGGCAGCCATGGCTCGACGTCTCGAGCAAACGCCTCGTCCACGGAACCGAAACAGAAGCAAGTCAAGGGAGAGGAAGAAAACGGATCACCTTTGCTTCTACCATCGGAAGTTCGGGCAACAAGCTCGAAAATGCACCCAGCCGTGCAACTTCCAGTCGGGAAACGAGCGGGGGAGTCACTGATGGCGGCCAGTGACACGACCCAGACTCCTCGTCGCCTTTTCGTCACCTGTCAGGAATCCAAAAGACGATTCCTCGTGGACATCGGATCCGACGTCAGCGTATATCCACGTGCCGCAATCCAAGGTCCGAAGCAGCCCACAGCATATATCTTATATGCAGCTAATGGGTCGGCGATACCGACGTATGGATGTATCACCGTAGAACCGAAACATGGTCTAAAAAGGTCTTTTCCTTGGCGTTTTGTCATTGCGAACGTATCGCAACCAATAATCGGCACGGATTTTTTATCCCACTACCATCTGTTACCGGATCTACGAGCAAGAAAGTTAATAGATGGCAAAACAGGCTTGAAAACCCAGGGGACCATAGACCACGCCACGACTGCATCAGTCAAGGTTCTCAAGGAAGAGAATTTGTACCACCGCATCTTAGCGGAATATCCAGGGATTACCCGCCTACGCACGGAACTAACAAGAGCAGAACACAACACCAGGCACTACATCAAGACAACATCAGGACCACCGGAAGCATGTCGTCCTCGAAGACTGGCCCCTGATCGTCTAAAAACTGCGAAAGCAGAATTTGATCTCCTGCTTAAAGAAGGGATCATCCGCCCTTCAAAAAGCCCATGGGCCGCGCCTCTACATATGGTGCCGAAGAAAGAAAACGCTTGGGGCCCATGCGGAGACTACAGACGCCTGAATGCTCGCACGGTACCCGATCAGTACCCGGTTCCTCACATCGAGGACTTTTCGCAAACTCTAGCAGGGAAGAAAATTTTCTCGACCGTAGATCTAGTTAGAGCCTACAACCAGATCCCGGTACACCCTGAAGATGTCCCGAAAACGGCAATCACCACGCCATTCGGGCTCTTTGAGTTTTTATACATGCCTTTTGGGCTACGAAACGCGGCACAAACCTTTCAAAGGTTTATCAATGAAGTCCTACACGGCTTGGACTTCTGCTACGCCTACATCGATGGCATCCTGGTGGCCTCTAACACAGAACAAGAGCACCAGGAACATCTCAGGAAGCTATTTGCCAGACTACAAAAATACGGCATACTCATTAGTCCGGCGAAATGCGTTTTTGGGGCGCAGCAAGTACGCTTCCTAGGCTACATGGTATCCCAACATGGGACCGAACCTCCGCCCAAAAGGGTCAAGTCTATAAAGGAGTTCCCCAAACCGACAACAGTCAAGCAGTTACGTCAGTTCCTGGGAACTTTTAATTTTTATAGACGCTTGATACCTGGGGCAGCTCAAGATCAGGCCCGATTAAATGAGCTTCTAGGCGGACCAAAAAACAAAGGCAACACGCCTATTACATGGACGCCTACTTATGAAGAAGCTTTCAACGAGTGCAAAGAAAGCCTCGCTCGGGCTACCTTACTGGCACACCCGGATCCAGCAGCCGAAATCACGCTCACAACCGATGCATCAGACACAGCCATCGGAGCAGTGATCCAACAGCGGGTACAGCAAGAATGGCAACCACTAGCCTTCTTCAGTAAAAAACTGAACCCTGCTCAGACAAAGTACAGCCCCTACGATAGAGAGCTATTAGCAATCTACGTGGCAGTGAAATACTATCGGCATATGCTGGAGGGCCGCATATTCACAATCTACACTGATCACAAGCCGATCGTCTATGCGTTTCAACAGAACCCCCTGCACAGTTCACCACGACAAGTACGTCACCTCGCGTACATCGGACAGTTCTCAACAGACATCCGGCATATTTCCGGAAAGGAAAATGTCGTAGCCGACACGCTGTCCAGGGTGGAAAGCATTCAAAAAGGGGTTAGTCTCGAAGAACTCGCCAAGTCGCAAGAGAGCGATGCAGAACTGCAGGAACTACAACAGCAGCAAACCGCTCTCAAATTGGAGAAGCTACCAATTCCATGATCAAAACACAAAATCACCTGTGACACCTCCACACAGCTGGCTCGACCGTTCGTAACAAAAGCATTCCGGCAGCAGGTTTTCCAGTCCCTGCACGGATTAGCACATCCTGGAGTAAAAGCTTCGGCGAAGCTAGTATCACAACGATACATCTGGTCAAACATCCAGAAGGACTGCAGAGGATGGGCACAGGCATGCATACCCTGCCAGCAGAATAAGGTACATCGTCATGTACAATCGCCGGTCGGAACATTCACGACGCCCACTCAAAGATTCGAGCACATTCACATCGACATCGTGGGACCCTTGCCTTCATCCAGAGACTACCGCTACTGTCTCACTATCGTAGACCGCTTTACGCGATGGCCAGAAGCCATTCCGATGCCAGATATCGCAGCAGAAACTATCGCACGGTATCTGTTCACAGGCTGGATCGCAAGGTTCGGGACACCTGTCAGAGTCACTACCGACCAGGGCCGACAGTTCGAAGCCGAGTTGTTCCGACAACTTACCCGACTCACTGGGACACAGCATTGGCGGACAACGGCGTATCACCCAGCAGCCAACGGCATGGTGGAGCGTTTCCACCGGCAGCTAAAAACTGCCATCAGATGCCACCAGACAGAAAGCTGGGTAGATACTCTCCCAGTCGTACTGATGGGAATCCGAGCAGCCGTTAAAGAGGACCTGAAAACCACCCCAGCCGAATTGGTGTACGGTGAGACCATTCGGTTGCCGGGAGAATTCCTCCAGGAAGCCACTTCCACGGAAAGTCAAGACTGCAGCGATTTCGTCCAAAGATTGCGACGAACCATGGGGAATATTCGGCCGCAACAAGTAAAACGCCACGGCCTACCCGCAATCTTCGCACAAAAGAGCCTCGAAGAAACGTCACACGTTTTTGTACGACAGGACGCACCAACTCGAGCGTTGCAACCGGCGTACAATGGCCCCTACGAAGTACTCGCGAGGACGCAAAAATTCTTCTCGCTAAAAGTAAAAGGGAAAACGGTAAATGTCAGCATAGACCGTCTCAAACCAGCATACATGCTAGCAACAGCGCCAAATGAGTCGGACACGACCACGCAAGAGCCCCTCAAAACAACGAAAGAGACAGAAAAACAGCAAGAGGAAATCAAGACGAGAAGCGGCAGAGTATCTCGCCCAACGGTTCGTTTCTCACCAGGAGCTCTTAAACAACGAAGGGGGTGATGTGGCGGATCGATATAGATCCGCACACACACAAGCGCGGCGCCGCTAGCCGAGCCGCCGCTGCTCGCCGAGCCGCCGCACAACCGCGAGAGCCTCCGCGCAACGCCGTTCGGTGGCGCATTCGCGGGGGGGTTTTCTCGCGAGGAAATCTTAATTAAGACTCAATAAAAGGCAGACCCAGCGGGTGGTCGGGGAGACTCGCACTCCGCTGCACTGGTATTAGTGGCGACTTTTATTAATAGCCTTAATACCAGCAGCGGTACCAACAGCACCTATAGGCGCTACTCCTCGCGCTGAAAAGTGCGCCTCGCTGAAGAAGCGATACCTCGCGCTGAAAAGTGCGCCTCGCTGAAGAAGCGATACCTCGCGCTGAAAAGTGCGCCTCGCTGAAGAAGCGATACCTCGCGCTGAAAAGTGCGCCTCGCTGAAGAAGCGATACCTCGCGCTGAAAAGTGCGCCTCGCTGAAGAAGCGATACCTCGCGCTGAAAAGTGCGCCTCGCTGAAGAAGCGATACCTCGCGCTGAAAAGTGCGCCTCGCTGAAGAAGCGATACCTCGCGCTGAAAAGTGCGCCTCGCTGAAGAAGCGATACCTCGCGCTGAAAAGTGCGCCTCGCTGAAGAAGCGATACCTCGCGCTGAAAAGTGCGCCTCGCTGAAGAAGCGATACCTCGCGCTGAAAAGTGCGCCTCGCTGAAGAAGCGATACCTCGCGCTGAAAAGTGCGCCTCGCTGAAGAAGCGATACCTCGCGCTGAAAAGTGCGCCTCGCTGAAGAAGCGATACCTCGCGCTGAAAAGTGCGCCTCGCTGAAGAAGCGATACCTCGCGCTGAAAAGTGCGCCTCGCTGAAGAAGCGATACCTCGCGCTGAAAAGTGCGCCTCGCTGAAGAAGCGATACCTCGCGCTGAAAAGTGCGCCTCGCTGAAGAAGCGATACCTTGCGCTGAAAAGTGCACTCGCTGAAGAAGCGATACTTCGCGCTGAAAAGCGTGTCCGCTGAAGAAGCGGCAACGAGGCCACCGACGCCGAAGAGGCGTCCATCCCTCCACTACGTCGGAGAAGGGGCAGTCGGCCAGCTCCTCGGCGCGGGCACTAACCCACACGCCAAAGAGCCAGGGCCTACGGCAACGCCTGTACCAGCTGTTTGGAGACAGCTCCCCAGAGGCCGAGACAGGTGGTCCGTCAGGCCGGTCGCCACGGCCGCGGACACCCTCGCCAACGCGGGCTGGGGCGCCGTCCCCGCTTTTGTGGGAAACTCCCTCATCACCAGCACCGGCGGCGGCCAACGTCTTCCTCCCCGCACCGTGGAAGCTCTACCCTATCTGGCTCCCGCAACGGAAGCTAACGCTACCTGCAGCAGTTCCGCTAGCCCGCGGCGACATCCGGGTCCTACGGCCGATCTCGCCACGCCGCACGAACGGACACGTAGGAAAGGAAAATCAAGCGCCGGCTTCTGGAGGTCCCCAGCAAAGAAGGACGCGTCGCCCCCGTGGCAAGAGACTAAACTCAGCGGCTCGACGAGTCCTAAGACGTCGGGAACAATTCCCAGACACAAACACATGCACACACATACACATGTAAACTTAATAAAATGTTCCTTGTTAAAAGTTAAAAAAGAAACAGCGAGTGTCACTGCAGCCTCCCCGCGAGCGACCGATCACGTCAAATAAAAGAGGCAACCGCCACAACACACAATACCCCAAATCCAGTATTTTTCTGATGCTTTTCTGCTCGCTGCAGCGTTCTCGACGGGGGGCTTCGCCGACGGGGCGTCTTAATGCGCTCGCGTTATCTTCATCGATACGTACCTCCGTCGGTGCGTCCGCTTCCCTCGTCTCTCTCTCACGACGACGACGATGATCGAGCTCTGGTTCGTCATTGAGGACGTTGTCGTTTCCGTATCTCGCATCATCTTCGGGACGATTGTTTTCGGCATCGTCGCCGTCGTTGCTAACGCCCGTTTTCGCGCGTTTGTTGATTTTTTTCTTCTTTTTGGAAAAAATGCAGGTAACGTTGAAGTACTTCTCTGTACAATTCCCATTTCTCGCGATCCGGCATCGTTGAATCGAGAATTCGTTTCATCTCGGAGTCGAGTCGCGACAAAACGGTCCCGGGGTGCGTACGGTATTTTCACCGGATCCCGCGTCGTTATTCGACGAAACGGCGGGAATCACGGGTTGTTGTTGCTACAGCTGCTGCTGCTACTGCGAGATTTTCTCGCGAGATATTCTCGCGAGATTTTCCGCAGAAACTGAAACCATCTTACTCGCTTTTTCCATGATATATCCGCGTGAGCGTTCGATTTAATTAATTTCGCGGTCTACCGATAACGCTGTATAGAATAGCACCGAGTATAGGTCTGATCAAGTAAGGCAAGAATTCTCCTCTTTGCACGATAATTTTCCTTTTGTCTTTCAAATTAGTGCGTTTACTCGCGATATTCCGCAGCGCAGATTTGTACCTGGACAAACGACTTTTTTCCCGTTGGTCGTGCGGTATGTTACCTCTGAGTGTGTTGAAAGTACATTCGCAGATACAGGCGATGAGATCGTTACCCGTGCAGCGTAAGAAGGAGGCCCGCTCTTTCTTCATTAAATAGCACAGTGCTTCAGAAGGCAGACGTTTTTCCGGCCGATGGAGCGACACGCGATACTCGTCGCTCTATCGCTACTCCTGCGTTTCGATGTCATCGCGAAGACGCGACTGCCGCGATTCAGGTGAGCGTGCAGAATATTATACGTGATTTCCCAAAGATCTACGTGGGACATAAACATAATGCGCGTTATCCGTGGGGAAGATGCACGCGCGAAATCGATATTCGTCAGGAGTGGACTGTTTCAAATCGAGCAGCAAATATCCGTACGGTCGCGAAGTAGCGTCGTGGTACGCCTTTTCCAGAAACGTCGGATTATCCGGATAAACTTGATGCGCCAAGTGGCGAATTTCAACGCAAGGATTTTTGAATACCACGATGTGATTGCTGTTGAGAGAAATATCCCGCTGTCCGCGGCCTTGATGAAAGAGATTTTGGAAAATCAGTATAACACTGAGGTTCTTGTGATGACTACCTTTTGTGAACAAATCCACAATCACGTCGCACGATTCCTCATAAAGTCGATTCCCTCATAAGGTCGTCGATTATTACTAATTTCGCGCAAAGCGGATCGTGCGAGTAATCAACCTTCGCGAAACGCGATTATATTTCCCCCCGCGCGCTTTCCGATGTCGCACGATGCCGCCCCGGACTTTTCGCGGCGGTACAACGAATCCACTTCGTGCTGCAGTTGACGATAGGTCTCCTGCCACTCCGCGTAATGAAACAAAATTCTTTCGAAACGGACGTCAAACATACCGGACAAATGGCGAAGAAAAGTCTTCACGAAGATCGTTTTACCGCATCCCGTCGGACCGCAAACGATCGACGTCCAAGGATGCCTCCAGCGCGTGTCTATATCGCACGAACAAATGGTCTCTGCGCGCGATTCTGGGAATGAAAAAAGACCGGCTCGCGAACGCGGATTTATATCTTGAATCGCACGGTGGGATAGCGTCAGCGTACATCCGCGGGGACGCGCGCGCGCCTCAGCGAGCTCTTTCCCACGGCGCGGGGCGATTCGCACCGCCGTGAGCGAGCTTCCTCATGCGACGCGCAAAAGCTTATTTAGCGCTGAGGGAAAGATACAGCTCGTATCCCCTCCCAGCGCTAGAACCGCGATTGTTGAGCTTATCGCATTGGAACAAACGATATTTCTCGGTTCGCACTCAGCGGGGACATTTTATCCTCTTGTTTGAAAGTTACTTCTATCCGTATCTTAAACGTCGCGCAAGAAATTCAAAATTGTTTCGCTCACTCGCTTAAAGTCTAGTGCTGGGGTGGAGATAATGTGAGTATGTGTAAAAAATCGATTTAAAAAAGTTTTTATTTTTTAGATTCGTCTTCGTTGCATATAAAAGTCCTTATTTTTAAAGTATAGCGCGTAAAATTTACATTCATCTTTTTAGGAGGAGTAAACAGGCGTGTATATTCCGTATATGTCGCAATTTTTACATTTTTCTTATATTTTACAGTTTTTACATTTTTACATTTTTACATTTTTTTCTTACCCTAGGAATAATTTTAAAATCTTACGCTGCAAATAAATAAAACAGAGGAGCAAGATATATCGCTATTCGCTGGAGACGTAACTGTACGGTACGGAGTATCCGTACGGTTACGGAGTATCCGTTGTCGTTAAAACTACGTTTTAGTAATACAGGCATGCAGGACTTTGTCTCATCTCTTATGACGATGTCGTGAAATACGGTACGCCAAATCGCGCTAAATTGCAGTTTTATCACGGTTTTATCCTCGCCCGTCTCTTCTCTCCTCTTTAACTTTTAGTCGGCTAGTAACAATGACTTAATGGAACTAAAATTAAGCACGCGAGAATTTTCAAAATTCAGGGTTATTCCCTTCACTTTGCAAATTTCTCACGCACGTCTTTCGCTCGTGCGAACGACTTAAGCGTAAAATTTCGGGCCAGCGGATACGAACGTCTCGATGTATCTACTGGAGCCGTGACTTTTGAGTTCGTCCGTCATTTCGCTCAAAAAATTTCCCGTATGCAGCTCGTACTCATCGGAATCACTGGTGCTCCAATATATACACGAATCGCTATCGTAATATAACACGCGACGATCTAACTTTTCTAAATACGAATATAGCTTTAATCGGGCTAACGCCGTGGTGTAAGCGGCTATCGCGACGCTGGTGTGACCGGCTTCTCGCCTCATTCGCCATGAAACATATATCACTTCGTCGTTTACGGGCAATATATTTGTTATTTCGCGTTCCGGACTCGTGAGCAGAGCCGTGAAACTCTCCCACGTTCTAACGATCTCGGTATTCGGTAGATTGGATCGTTGGCCGAATTCACTCCAGAAGGAGTTGAGACAGCTTCGCGATCGAGCGCAAGCCTAGATTCGGGGAGATATTTGCCCTGTTGAGAACAATACCCTCGACTTTCTCGTATTCGTGCAGATACCGTTTCTTGCCGCCTTCATTATCCGCGCATTCGTTTGGCCATCCGCTGGCCTCTTGCTTCAACTGCAGAAAGCAGTTGATATCCTCCCCGCCGCGTAACCGGATCGTATCGCGTGATTTCGTAGCTTCATATTTCGCTGACGCGATAACCTTTTTCAATAGCTTTGCGTAACTCGCAAGACACACGCGCTTTCGAATTTGCGATCGGCAGGGTCGTCTTGTGTACACGCAGTCTGAGAAAATGTCTCGCAGCAGCTGCAACAAAGCGCGAATAGCAATTTTCCGTTCACGCAATAAGGGAGTACCGGATGGAAGAGATCACGCGGCGCGAGCACTCTGCAACGTACGAGGCCATCTACGGCGTCAAAGTTAAAATCGGAGCCTGATCCGATCAAGGCAGAACACTCCTCACCCACGTAAATGTCCGGATGACCGAGCGGAAAAGCACCCGTCTTCAGCACATACGGGTACAAAGAACACACGTCCACGTAACGTATCTTCTCCGTACCCATAACTTCGTACCGCGAGACGATATATTCCGTACGCCCGCCCTAGAACGCCTCGCAAGGTTCGAGGAGATTGTTTCTCAACATGGGATGATTCTCAACAAATTCGCGTATCTCACGATTTTCGCGCAGCTCCCAATTGAGGATACACTCCCACTTTTCCGTACCCCCGTTTTCTAAGACGACACATCGTCACGAGTGTGCGCTAGTAACGCGCTTCGATCGTATCCTCGCGCGACACGGTTGAGAGTGATCTGTCGCGATTCACGCGGAAACACTCGGGACATCCGTTCCAAAAACAGCCGTGAAACTGCAGCACATGACGCTGCCGGGAATTGTCCGTCTCATAATATCCGTCGACGAGCGGGCCTTCCAATAAACGCTTTTCCCGATCTCTCCCCGTGTGAATTATCGTGCGTCCGAGTTCACGCTCCATCAACAATAACCATTGTAGCGCTTTACGCGATTGCGCGTTGACACCCCTACAACCAACGAGCGGGATTATCCCAATCTCCTTCTAGCACAAAAAGTTGTTGCGAAAAACTTTCATACATGGAAGTAATAGTTGTGCATTCTTCGAACGGACACACATTTCCACGGTCTAGGAAAATTTTTCGATAGGCCAGACACGCTCGTCGAAGGATATCTATGTCGTTCCGGCAATAGCGCACTATCTCCTGAAAATTAAACACCGCGTTTTTGCCTGACATTTTTGCGTGCCACGTTAAAAATTGCTTGCGTTCGTCCGATTCCATTGTATCCGGAGAATAATAATCAATATCCGGTAGCGGCCTGACATAATTTTGATTTTTAATCGTATTGAATAAATGCGGAAATACGCCTTTGGCGACGGAATCCTTTAGCCTGAAAGCTTTTGGTAACGCAGACAGCCGCATAGGCATGTAATTAACGCTATCGAGAAATTTTGTCCGTCCCACTGTTAGTAATACAATTTTTGTTCCGATTAATATTAATTTCGATTCGTCCGTCCTACCGCTCTCGACCAGGTAGCGCAGGATGAACTGCGAGTCGAACGCCCCCGCACTGTACGCGATGTAGATGAAGCACGAGAAACGCTTCGTTGTTCTCGTTGCAAAATCGACGAATTGTTTTACCGGATCATCACGAAATACAAATTCGCGCACCCTGCACCAACGACATCGCGACGCCATATTGTCCTCTCCCAGGCAAGATTCGTACGTTTGCGCGACGCAGAGAGTAACTACGTGGGTTTCACGTTCGCGCACCCTTCGAGTACTTCGTCTTGTCACGTCTCGAAGTCGTAAAATATAAACGCGGCGCGGGCCTTCCGATCGGTTCTCGCATCATCACGATCGTCATTATCGTCGTTATCATCGGTCTAGTCGACATTCTTGAGTTCTTTCGTGTTTACCGATGCCGATACGCGACCCCCTCGAAGCGACCGCATGAAACACAATTGATTCAGCGATCGACGCGCAGCATATGCGACAATAAGCCGCGCCGCACGCGTGTTTTGCACCCGATCTTTTCAAACGCCCGCAATCGCTGCAAAATCTCACGGCGTCGCAAACACTCGACGGCGACTTGCCGGCGTAAGATTTCGGCGCCCGATGGCGTTTAATACAGCTCTCGCCGTAAAACACGCGGTTACACGCGTCGCAACCGATCAATTGCGCGTCTAGCTTCTCGCATGGCGGCGTACCGAGGCATCGCGGACACGTATTTGAGCATCGGTGACCCGTTTCACGACGGTAACCTTTGTTACAGGGAATGCAATAATATTTACTAGCCGAGGCGGCTTTTAAATTTAAAATAGGTTTATAATGCCGTGAGCGCTCGTAACACATTATATTTAGAGTATACGCGAACGAGAGGCGAGCGTCGAATGTCCGTCATACAACGGAGGGACTCCGCGACCGAAACTCCTGAAATTATAAATAACAATCGCGATATTTTCTAGTAAGAGAAGCTGCTGAAAACGCTCGATCTCCGGGATGTCGTATCCTTCCTCGGGTATAACTGTACTGGCATTTCTCGTTAATTCTTCCGCCAAACGTTTTTGCAACGCGGAATATGGGTATCTTATATTTTCCCATTTTCTATGTAGTTCGCCAGTGCGTACTGTACCGCGTTCGCAATAAACGCAAGCCACGACGAGGAAGCGTGGGAGACATATATTATTCCGATTATTTATATTTAAAATCGAGCGTTTTATCACATCTTCGCGCCTTAATTTATTCGATTTCCCCCCCTCACCCCGAAGGCATCCCGACATTGTACACCGTTATTAAAAAACGTTCCGCGATATCGTGACCTCCGGCGCTCTGCGCTACCGAGCTTACGAGGCTCCAGATATCCCCGTAAGTTAAGTCTCGCACTGGGCGAAACGACAAGCCAGCCTGCCCGCGTGTTAAAACTGTCCAGGTGAAAGATAACCTCACGTAATCGCTCGCGTTAGCGGAATTAACGACGTAAGAATAAGTTTCGCGGGATGCTTTTTCTAAATGGTTAGCGATGTCGGTGCCTTCGACGGGCGGAAGATCTTTATACTTGCTTTTCGTCCTAAGATACCATAGAAGGAGGAGGGCATACTAGGTGGCGGCGGGACGCAGTGCGTTCGAGATCTGCGTATGTTTTTCGTTCCAGAAAGAGAAAAATATCGAGAGCGCGGTCCTGCTAGGCCGGGACTCGAACCCGGCTCTTTCGCTTGCCGGGCGACTGCTCTAAACCACTGAGCTACCTGACGCTCCACGTTCACGACACTCTCCTCTTTCTAGATAACGCTCAGAGATGCCGTTCGGAAGCGACATCTCTGGCGCAATCCCGAGCGCACGGCGACTACAGAAAGAAACAATGTTACTGTACCAAACGGTACAGCTGGATAAAGTTATCTCCCCGTATTTCAATATAATTATTATAAATCTTACGTTACCATGCTCGTGAGGAACTTCTTCCGGCATAGACTCTTCTCACGCCGGTTCCATTTCGAAGGAGAGAGCGTGTGTGCCTCCTTATTGTACTGTAAAAGAGTAATGAAATAATGAGTAATGAAATAACGAGAAACGCGAGCTCTGTAAAATATTTAATATTTTAAGTCATTTTATAACTCACGTTCGAATTTATTCTTCTGGTGTTAAATTGAAATATGATAAGTCTCGGCCAGAGTCCCATACCGGCGATTCGGGAAAAATCCGAATTTCCCGGGGAATTTCTACATCGCCAAACCACAATATACTCTCCCATTCTTCTTCTCTTTCCATGTCGGGAATATACGGTATTAGTCTTCCCTTCATCGGAGAGGTGATTAACCGGCGAATAACTCGGTTCTAGTTCTATTTACAGTCATTTTGATTATATTCGAACGTAAAAATATACATCCAGAGAATTCCGCGTCTATATACAAACGTGTGGGTTCGCGCAAAAGTTCTTACCTAATATTCCCGAAGAAAACTCTCGATAGCGGCGAACGTCTTCAGTGTTATCCCCGATACTGTCGTTGTCGCGCTCCATTCCCTCGTCATTATTCTCGTCCGCGTTACCAGCGTCTTCGCCGACATTGACATCGTTGCCGGAGCCATTGGCAACGGGGACGTTGCCATCATCGCTGTCGTCATCATTGTCGTCGCTGTCGGAGCTATAGTCGTCGTCGCCGCTGACACTGTTGTCGTCGTCGTCGTCGTAGTCGTCCGCGCCGGCAGCGGCGGCTACCGTCTCGGTAGCGCCGGTATCATTCTCGCTGTTTTCTGAAAGTAAAATTACACTTTCACTCGCGTGAAATCGATTTTAATATGATATTTTTGTTATTTTATAATATAATATTTGTTTAATATAATATATTTGTTAATATAATATTTGTTATTAAAATATTTGTTATTTTATGCTGCCTTACGTGCGGGTTCAACCACGACGGTCTCATTAGCAATCGTTTCCACGCTACAAATACTGTCAGAATTCGATAGGTTGGTCGATAGTTTCCGATGTCGGAGCATTATTACCGTCTAAAATTTATTTTAGCGTTAGTTAATTTACCCGATAAAGCACCTTAAATCCGGTACTCCTCTCGATTTGCACTTACGCGAAGTTTCCTGATTCGAGTAAGGCGGTTCCTCCGCGAGACGTTTACGACCCTGCGGAAGAAGTTCAAGCGCCTCCCCATCACTGGTATCGGCGGTTACGAGATTAGAATTTATGGAACAATAAAAACAATAATTATTCTTAAAATTCGCGTAAATTATAAAGTTTTAGTTTATAAAACTGATATGATGTAATAACTTACCCGTTATAGGATATCACATCGGCGATAATTCCCCACACGTCCTCGATATCCTCCTTAAAATCTCGTCGAAATATAAGAATTTCTCTGATTATTTTTATTAATTCCGGACCACTCCAAAATTTATCGCACTCGTACAAAAGCGCTAGCAGCGTTCCGCTACAAGCACATGCAAA